AAATGTTGCAGTTTTGTGGTCTCTTATGTTTCTTGCATCACCATGTAAAGAGCACTCCAGGCTAGTCTGTTGTTTCCCAGAAGAGAATGACAGACATGTAAATATTGGTTAAGACCTAGGTGACCCCAGCTAAGATCAGTTAACTCTTAGATGTCTGAGTCAAGCAAAGGTGTCGCAGGTCACTGAGACTCTACAGTTGCTGTATCTGCAGCTGATTTAACTACCTGGTATCACTTACAATTAATTTCCACCACCTGATGATTTTTGATAGCTTATTCACTGATCAAACAAAATTTCTTCAGGTAGATCAGATTTAGTAAATAAAGTTTTCTACAGAATCCCCAATTAAATTTGAATTTTAGATAAGCAGGAAATAATTTTGTTCATGTAAGTTCTCTCACACATAGAGCATATTTACACTGAAAATTATTTTCTAAAATTCTAACTTAATTGGTCACTTTCTATGTATCTGGTGAACCTCCTCCTAGAGGTGATGGCAGGCTAGACCCCTTACACGAAAGTTGTAGATAGTCACATGGCTGCCATCACAATCCCAGGACAGGAGAGGCTGAATGCAGTCAAAGATTTGCAAGGTTGTCCTTGAGTATTTCTCCTGGGGACAAATTCAGCCCTTAGGACAATAACGGTGATGTTCACCATTTACCTACCTGGGGAGAGGCAGGTGGTGGAAAATAGTTTTATTTTCATGGTTGCATTGCAATATAAGGAAGTGGCTAGATCCTTATCTCCATTTAGAAATGAGTACACTGAATATCAGACAGGTAGAACAATGTCCCCTTGGAGTTACAACTAGAGAGAATAGCAACACCAGAATTCAAATGCAGTCCATTCTCTTCTTATACTTTAATCCCACCTCCAGCTAGTAAAAATGTTTATTGTTATTTTGCAAAACAGAAAAAGAAAAGTTTTTTCGAATCCTCCCATTGTTTTACTGATTGCCCTTCAGTCTATGAATAATGACAATTGTGTTAGTTTGCCTAGAATTACTCTAAGGAAGTACCCAGACTAAGTGGCCTGTAGCATTGTAGCACTGTCCTCCCATTGTTCATCGATTTGCTCGAGAGGGCCCAGTAACGTCTCCATTGTGAGACTTGTTGTTACTGTGTTTGGCATACCAAATACGTCATGGGGAGCTTGCCAGGTCTTGCCGTGAGGGAGAGATACTCTCGATAGCTTGCCAGGCTCTCCGAGAGGGGCAGAGGAATCGAACACCAGTCGGCCGGGCATGTTGTGCATGCAAGGCAAACACCCTACCGCTGTGCTATTACTTATTAAGTGGCCTAAACAACAGAAATCTACTGTGTAGTTCTTGAGGTTACATGTTCAGGATCAGGAGGGCAGGATCTTTCCCAGATCTATAATAACTAATCTTAACGTCAGATTGACAGATCCATAAAACACCCAGGTACCTGGTTAAACATTGTTTCAGTATATGTCTTTACAGTGTTTTCAGAAGAGATTAAATTGGTGGAGTGAGTAGAACAGGATTAATTCTCTGAAGTCTTGAAAGAAACGTAGATGCAGAGAGAGATTAAATTGGTTCTCTCCGCCTGACCCCTTGAACCAACGTATCTTTTTCACCTTGAGCAGAATTTAGCCACCAGAATTCCTGGTTCCAGTGTCCTTGGATCCTTTGGGAATCACACCACTGATTTCTTAGGGCTTCGTTTTGCATAATATCCACTTCCCAGCCTCCATTCACACAAGTCAATTCCTTATAACAAATCTCACTATAATTTCTTATTGACTTTGCTTCTGGATAGCTCTTTAATGCAAAGCTGGGTTTGGTGATGTCTCACTTGGGTTTGTAGATGTCCATCTTCTTCATCTTCCTTCTGCACAGGACTGTGTCCAAGTTTTGACTTCTAACCAGAATATTCTTCGCATTGAATTGACCAATATTACTGAACTCACTAAATTAATGACCTCTGTAAACCCCATATCTCTTAATAAGGTCCTATTACGTGGTACTACTGAGTGTTATAACATTAATATGTGATTGGGTCTCTTCTTCTTTGGGGAGGGGGGCACAAGACCATAGCTGGGTTCAGGGATCTAATTGCTGCTCATTCCAAGAGAGTCTGCTTTTTTTTTTCTTTTTGGGTCACACCTGGCGATGCACAGGGCTTACTCTGCACTGAGGAATTACTCCTGGTGGTGCTCAGGGGACCATATGGGATGCTGAGAATCAAACCCGGGTTGGCCGCGTGCAAGGCAAATTCCCTCCCCACTGTGCTATTGCTCCATCCCACAAAGGACCATGTCTGCTTTTAAGAGGTACCCAAGAGATTCGATTTCAAGTGGTAGAACTGCAGTTTCAAGCAATTTCAAAGAGTGGCAAAGATTCATGCTCAAATTCTTTTTTAAAAATTTTATTTATCAAAGCACCATAAGTAACAAAGTTATTCATACTTAAGTTTTACAATACAATGCTCCATCACCCATCTTGCCACCAGTGTCAACTTCTCTCCACAAGTTTCAGTATCCCCCAGGTTCACTCTCCTACGGACCCCACCCCCTCCCAAACTAGCTTTTAACAAGCACCTTTTTAAGTTTGATTGTTTTGAAGTTTGGTTGTTTGAATCTGAGTCTCATGATTTTGTTGTAGTGTGGTTTGGATATTTAGCTCTGTCATTCTTTAGCATCATTGATGTACTTGAATCCCCTTGCCCCTTGCCCCCATTGCTTCCCATCTAACTTTTATCCTCATTGCCACTCTATATCCTTCCTCTGCCTCTACTCTTGAGTCTAGGGATGATCTTAGCACCTCCCCCACTTTTTTTCATTTTTTATAATTTTTTTATTGAATCACTGTGAGAGCAGTTACAAAGCTTTCAGGTTTAAGTCTTGGTCATACAAAGAAACACCCGTACCTTCACCAGTGCCCAATTTCCACCACCAAAAACCCCTGTATACCCCCATCCCAAGCCCTCCCCCTACCTGTTGGGGCAGATGATTTCCACATTACTCTCTCTCTACTTTGATTACATTCAATATTTTGACACCAGACCCACCATTATTAAATTTGGGATTTTACCCTAACACTCAGATCTGCTGAAAAGTCAACATGTTGTAGACAATTTGTTTTCTATTGCTGGTTATGAATAACACATAATGTCATGTGGCTGCAGTAGTGGCCACGCGATTTTGAAATTCTGAAATTTTAACAATTAAATCTGGAGGGATTTCTGCCAAAACCTGCTGGGTTCCAAGATTTGTTCCTGAGTCTCTTGGATCATAGCCGTTAAGCAGCTTGACCAGGGAAGGCCGTTAGTGGGCGGCAACTTGGGGTCTTTTGTGGACGAGAAGGAAAGGGCCGGCTCCACCCCCATCCCGTGAGACCCAGCATCTCTCATCACTGAGGGCCCAAACCTGACTGTCCAATGGGCTCTGGAGGATGGCGGCCACCGAGCCGCCTAGGGGGAGCAGTTGGAGGGACAGCACCCTTTCCCCGCTGGAATGGCCCAGCCACAGTAACCTACTGCAGGGACTGGACGCATTTCTGCCAAAAGCCACTGGGTTCTGAGATTTGTTTCTGAGTCTCTGGGATCATGGCCGTTAAGCAGCTTGATCAAGAGCCAGAGAGGCCATTTGTGGGCAGTGACTCGGGGTCTTGTTGGGACGGGGAGGAAAGGGCCGGGTCCACCCCCATCCCATGAGGCCCTGCATGTCTCGACACTGCGGGCTCAAACCTGACTGTCTGGTGACCTCTTGAGGATGGCGGCCACTGGGCCGCCAGGGGGAACAGGCCAAGGCATGAAACCTATTCTCACCTGGAGTGGCCCAGTGCTGGTAACCTACTGCAGGGACTGGACACATTTCTGCCAAAAGTCGCTGGGTTCCTCAATTTGTTTCTGAGTCTCTGGGATTATGACCATTAAACGGCTTGATCAGGAGCCAGAGAGGCTGTTCGTTGGCGGCAACTTGGGGTCTCGTTGGGGTGTGGAGGAAAGGGCCAGCTCCACACCCATCCCGTGAGGCCCCGTGTGTCTCAACACTGTGGGCTCAAACCTGACTGTCCAATGGCCTCTGGAGGATGGCGGCCACTGAGCTGCCAAGGGGAGGCAGGCGGAGGGACAACACCCTTTCCCCCTTGGGGTGGCCCGGCAACAGTAACCTACTGCACGGTCCGGATGCATTTCTGCCAAAAGCCACTGGGTTTCGAGATTTGTTTCTGAGTCTCTGGGATTATGGCCATCAAGCAGTTAGATCAGGAAACAGAGAGGCCATGCCTCCAATTATATAGCTGATCCAGAGGTGGTTTTTGGGTGTGTCTCCCACATACCTAACTTTAGACCATTTACTTTCTTGGTAAACTTTGCCCCAAGTTTTTGAGGTCTGGCCAAAAGCACAGCAACAATTTTGGGGTGCCTGAAAGTCTGAAGGCACCATCAGGCTGCTGATGCACTTGCCTCACAGGTACAGATTGACCTGCTGGCAGCACCATACCCCCAGCACCTCCCCCTTTTAAATCATTGCATTTCCTCATCCAGTTACTCTTAATTCCACATATTTATCCTTCTTCTGGTTTACTTCACTTAACATAATACCTTTCAGTTCCATGCATGTAGAAGTGAATTCCATTCTGTCATTCCTTAGAGCAGCATAGTATTCCATTGTATATCTCTACCACTTTTTCATGATTCACTGATCTGTTGTTGGACATCCAGGTTGATTCCAAATCTATTGGACTAAGAGCTCCGATGAATAATGGTGTGCACATGTCTTTCTGAAAGAATGTTTTTCTGTCCTGGTGGGTAAATACCCAAGAGTGGAATTGTTGGGTCATATGACAGCTCAATAATGGTCTTTAAAAGTGTCACACCATCTAGCAAAGGGGCCCTAGCAACTGGTAGAATGCAGGTTATTATGAGGACAGAGATTGTGATGGTGTCCAGGCTGTGGAATGTGGTGAGACCAAATGTTTGTGCCTCAAAAGATGCCCCTTGGCTTTAACTGGCAGCATTACGGGTTTCTGGATGGCAACAGAGGACAGAGAGATCATGGAAGCCCGGGGAGCAGGTGAAAGCTGTCCAACCTACACCAAGATGGTGACTGAAGATCCCATGTCAGAAGGGAAGTCAAGGGTTTTGGTAAGAGGGTGCATTCTCATTGGATCCCACACAGTCTGTCAGGGGTGGAGGGCTGCTCTGGGACATGTGACAGACGCTGAGAGCTGCTAAGAACAGAGGGTGCTGTGGACCCATCCCCACAGTGGCACCAGCCGTCCCCTGATGACACAGTGAAGTCACTTGAAGCTGCTTTAGTGCCTCCTCCCTCTGTGGACAGGACGGAGCCCCTACTCCCACTCCAGCTCTTTGATTGGCCCCCATGTCGGGATTCTCTCAATAGAACTGGGGTTCTTCCCTCCCTCCCTCCCTCCCGGGCCCCTGGAGAAGAGGGTATCTGCATGGCTTCAGAGTTAGGTTGGGCAGGGATTCAAAAAGCACCAGGAAGAGTCTTTCTCTGCACCCCAATGCCTCTCCTGGCAACTTTGGGGTGCCACTCCTCCAAGTGGGGCTACTGGCACCTTCTTTACGCTCAGGGCCCAGGAGTCTGTGTAAGCCACTTCTCTGGAGAGCCCAGGCTTCGCCTTTACACTCAGAGACAACTGTTCTGAGTTGTGGCCTGGTGCTCTGGGAACCCCGAGATGTGGCTGGGTTGAGGGGGTGTGGGTGTGTGGTGGTGGGGGGGTGAGGGTGAAGTGGGGGTGCAGTGGGATGCAGCAGGGTTTAGTGAGGGTACAGCAGGGTGCAGTAGGGCACGTGGGGTGCCCGGAAGTGCAGTGAAGATGCAGTGGGGTGCAGTGAGGTACAGCAGAGTACAGTAGAGTCACTGGGGGTGCAGCGGAATGCAGTGTGGGTGGTGGGTGCAGTGGGGTACCCGGGATGTGGGGAGGTGCAGTGGGGATGCAATAAGGTGTATGGTGCAATAAGGTGCACTGCATCCCCATGGTGCAGTGGGGATGCAGTGGGGTGCAGTGGAATGCACTGTGTTATACAGTGGGGGTGCAGCGCGGGTGCAGGTGCGGTGGGGTGTGGCAGGGGTAGGGTGGAAGGGAAGGCGCAGTGAGAGCAGGCGCCCCGGAGACCCCTCTCTTACCCCCCCACCCCACCTCTCTCCCCAGCCCCAGGAGGCCGAGGCCCCGAAGCCAGACTCCTCCTCCGACGCCCAGGACGAGATGGAAGCCTGCGAGGACCACAGTTGTCTGGGGCCTCCGAGGAGCGGGCCTCCCAAGGCCGACCCCACCACCAAGGGCCAGGCGGGCGACGGGCCGGAGCCGGCCGAGATCCCCCCCTGTCCCTCGGGGGCCCCGGACGCGGAGCGCAACGCCGAGATGGAGCTGGAGAAGGTGCGCATGGAGTTCGAGCTCACGCGCCTCAAGTACGTGCACGAGGAGAACGAGCGGCAACGGCAGCACGAGGAGGTGATGGAGCAGCTGCAGCAGCAGGCGCCGCCCCGCCTGGTGGGTGACCACCGCCCGCCCTGACCTCCCCAGGACGTGGCTCTGACGGCCTTTCCGCCGCCCACCCCCTCTTTTCCCGTAGGAAGCGGGAGAGAGGCACTTGCCGCGCTCAGGGCTGACCCGGGCTTCATTCTCAGCTTCCCTGAGTTTGCCAGGAGTGACCCGTGAGCCCAGCGCCAGGAGTGTCCCCTGAGCATCACCAGGGGCGGCCCAAAATTAAAATTTTCTTAAAAATTACGAAAAAAACCACCCACCCACCCCCCAATAGGGTCTGCCCAGTGAATTTTGCAGGAACCATCCGCAGGGCCCTGATGAGGGCCCAGGTGCATCTCCCGGCCAGGCTGGCCACTGAAACGTAGGCATCTTTTGGCAAGAGACGGGCTCTCCCCTGTTACTGAGTGGAGAGAACCCCCCTTGCGTTTGAAGGGAAAGGAAGTGCTTAGCATCAAGCACATCAATAATGAACGATGTTATTGTGTAAAGTAATGATGTTGTCTAGACTTTAAAAGGCAAACAGCCCGAGGTTGAAATCCGGGTCCTACTGCGCAGAAACGTTAACAGTGGGCAACTCCAGGATCTCCTGGAAGCCCCTTTAGCGAGTGTCAGGCACTTCCTACAGAGCTGGCTCACGAGGTCAACTCCAGATCTGTGCTGGCTTTTTTAAAATAAATAAATAAATAAATAAATAAATAAATAAGAAAAGACCCAAAACCCCCAGTAGGGTCTGGCCAGTGAGTTTTGCAGGAGCCATCACCAGGCCCTGAGGAGGGCGCTTTTATGCATTCATGCAAGGCGCTCCTTGACCCAAAGGCTCTAACCGACATTCATTACTTTCCCATGTCAGCGGAGTGTAACGTATTCCTTACGCTTCCCGGCTCTGAGTCATGCTCAATTCTGAGAAATCGGCCTTCTGCCTTAACCCGAGTCATCACGTTTGAGGAGAGGAGGGAAAGGAACCACTGAGCGAGCTCCCCCAGGCTAGCCAGTATTCCATTCATCAGCACCCTTGAGTTACATTCTACCCAGCTCACATTTCTCTGCCTTGTCCAAAAACACCAACCTGAAAAGCAGTGCCAAGTGATTTCTCAGAATTAAGATACGGGCTGGTCAATTTTTTAAAGGACACAGCATTGATTTGACATGATTTGTTCTCAATGAACACTGCTGGCTTAACAATGATCATTCTATTTCTTTCTCTTTTTTTTTGCCTGCTTAATTATACATTAGTTTTTGCTAGGCCAAGTCAAGCTTATTGAACTGGGATTTTTAGAATGCATCCCCATCCATGCACACACACACCATTTAATAATTAGTAAATATTTGCCTGTCTGTGACTCGGGCACATTTCTAAATCCTTCCAGTTAAGTTCCATTTCTAAACTTGTGTGCTGGAATTGCATTTGTCACAAGTTGGAATCTGGAAGGTTTTCAAGTAGAGATGGTGTGGTCTTATGGTCTTAGCCCTCCATCTATGTCTCTTCCCAGCCATAGTTACTTTTCCTTTTTAAGTTTGTTAGTCTCCTTGCTGGGTGACATGGAAGCCCTTGGCGTGTAATCCTATCTTTTCTGTCTTCTGCTCAAAATATATACCACTGAAAATGTTTGGGAAAGGCTAAAAGCTTTTGAAAATGCGTATCCTATCAAAATTGTAAGTATCAACCATCAGCATTTCAGATTGAAAACACTGGACTGAAAATGTGGCAGGAAGTCCCTCCCTCGATAGTCAGATGAGAGATGGCATTGTGGGGTGCTTCCTGCTCCCTTTATCTAGTTGACTTCCTGTTTTATGTAGGAACAACTATGGTTTGTCCATAATCCCCACCTGTTTTAAGAGTTTACAAAACAGTTTACCTTTCCTGCATTTGCTTAAAGGTGGATAGTCGACTCAGCTTTTCTTCTCCTGGATAGATAAGTAAATATTGTCTGAAAAACATACCTCTGTGGAGCTGGAGGGAAAAGACAGGAGTTAAGACCTGTGCCTTGCTAAGCACAGCCCGGTGTGACCCAAGACAAAAAATACATATATATTACCTGTATTTTTTGCTAATTTGGGTTCTCACATCTCCTGCCATATGATTGTTTATGAAACAAGTGGCACCATTTTAGACACTTTAAACAACAAACCCTATAGTTAAGATGATGCTTCTTAACTATAGACCGAATTAGTTTCATTGGCTTTTGCCTTAGCTACATGTCAATGCTTTAAATGGTTCAAATGTGTTGTTCTTAGGCCTCTTCATAGAAACTCTGGATAAATACATATGCCAGCAGTGAGATCAAGATCTCCCACTGCTTTCCCCCTTACCAAATACAGTGAAGGTTCGGGGGGTCCCTTGCCCATCTCTCAACATTCATCCCTAGGAGAGGGCAAACCCTGAGGGCAGAAGGCCAAGGAACTGACTCCCTGTGATGTGGACCAAGACCAAGAGAGTGGGGAAGAGTGAGCTTTGCTGTGTCTGTTCACAAAACAAGCTAAGTCACCCAGAGAACAGGCCCGAGAAGCAGGGTCTGGGATCTGGGCATCTCATAGGCAGAGGGAGACTTTCAGCGGGAGCCAGAGGGCAGCGGAAAGGAAGCGGGTTCAGAGGACAGGTCAGGCGAGATGAGAGCAGGCTCAGGAAGTGACATCCCTGAGTTCCCTCCACATGTCAGTTAAGGGGCCAGGAACTTGTGGGTCCTTGCCTCACTCTTCTTCCCCATCATCATGCAAGGCAGGCCTGTCTCCCCACCCAGCGTCACATCCAGGAAGGGACAGGAGCAGGATTGCAACACTGAGCCCCGATTCCGTCAGCTGCCTGTCTTCTTTCCCCCACAGTTCTCGGGAGGCCTCCAGGACCTCCTGCTCCCCCAGAACCAGTTTGCCATGTTCCTGTACTGCTTCATCTTTATACACATAATCTATGTCACCAAGGAGATGATCTTCTTTCTCTTCTCCAAGCACTACCTGTTCTGCATCGCAGCCATTTTGCTCTGTTTGATTAAAACACTGTGGTCATACTTTCAAGTGCCTTTACTCACCCCGTCCTGGGGAGCCCCTCCCTGACCCCTGACCCATTGCCTTCTCGTGGTGCTTGCTCCGGGCATACGCTATCATGGATGGCACAGCCTTTCCTCTCTTAGTCCAGTCCCTGTGCCGAGCCTGAGTTCTCCCTACAGATGAAGATGTCTGATTTCTGAAAAGGAGACTGTCAGAAGTTTCTGGGTTGGGGGGGAGGTTATCTGTAGGGAGATAGGGCTTTAGAAAGCTTTCCCAGAGTCACAGGCATCACCCCAAATCACCCAGTAATCAGAAATGGGACCCATATTCACTCATGTTCAACAATCTTCTCTGAGGTGGGGGAAGTTGTGATAGCTTTGGGGGAGTAAGCCTGCCCCAAGATGTTCATGTCCCAATCTACAGAACTTGTGACTATGTTTCTAGCAATGGCCAAAGAGACTTCAAACCAGGATTAAGTCATGAGCCTCAAAATGAAGAGAAGATGCTGAACACTGCAGGAGGCCCAATGTCATCCAGGGTGAGCATGAGGGAGAGGCAGAGGCTGAGAGCAGATGAGATAGGGACACTGAGGCACCATGATGCAGGGCCACAAGCCCAAGAATAGGACAGTGAGAAGATGGATGCTCTTTGTGAGCGTCCAGAAAGAATGCAGTCCTGCAAGCCCACTTTGCCCCTGGAAGAGAATGAATATGAATCGCTTATGTCACTAACTTTGCAATAAGTCTTTGTTGAATTGCAGCTGCAGGTGCAATAAAGAAGCCAAGGCTGCAAGAGCTTTTTTGCAGCTTGGCACATACCTCAGGACATTGGCAGTTCCAGGCAGCTCCAGACCTGAGCAGAGCGGCTCACAGTTAACCATGCAGGCTTGGGACCTGTCCTCGGACAAGACACAATTCAGAGACACAACAACTCCAGGGATTCCAGCACATACCAGCAGAATCATATGGTTGAAGAGAACATCTATTGCTGAGCAGGGCATGCCAGGGTGATTCCGGTGGCAAAAATCTGGGCATCATCCTGAAGACATCAAGAAGAACAAATGAAATGCCTGGTTGAGTTCAGAGTAAGTTGCTCTAGTAGAGAAGTCAGAAGAGAAAAGAGTAGGCGCCACAAGCCCAGTCCTCAAGTATGCACACACATGTGTGCCCTGCACGCAGAGCAGATAGACAGCTGCCCACAATAGAGATGTTTACCCGGACAGCCAAGGTCACCACTATCCCTCAAAGGAGCTGGCAACCAGGAGCAGAAAGAACACACTTTAAACACTAGAGGGCCCTGGGCTCACAGTCACCAAATGCAGCTGCCTGTGTGTTTCTGTGTGGATAAGAAGGAAAAGCCGGCTCTCCCACCCCTTACACACACACACCCTTAAATTGCTTATCAGCCATTCTCCCCCCACCACACTGGCCGTGCCCAGTGGTGATATCCAGAAGGCAGCTGGAAGCAGGAGCGTTGGGTGGGTGAAATGCAATAGGCATTTGTCAATCAGTCTTTATTATTTTTAAAAATTATTTGGGGCGATGATTGGGCCCATACCCAGGGGTGTTCAGGGCTTACTCTTGACTCTGTTCAGGGATCACTACTGGCCATATTCAGACACCATATGGGATGCTTGGAATTGAGCCAGGGCCAGTCTGTGCAAGGCAAGTGCCTTATGATTTCTCCCGCCTATTCAAGACTATCAAGTCTTGAGATCAGAGCGATAGCACAGCGGGTAGGGCATTTGCCTTGCATGTGGTCAACCCGAGTTGGATTCCCAGCATCCCATATGGTCCCCTGAGTACCACCAGGAGTAATTCCTGAGTGCAAAGCCAGGAGTAACCCCTGAGCAATGCTAGGCGTGACCCAAAACACAAAAAATAAATAATTTAAAAAATTTTTAAAAAACAGTACTTTATCAAGTCTTTCTCCTCACCTCTTTTGGGGCGTAGGGCTCTTCCTGAAGAGAGACACAGGAATACATTTCTGTATCGAGTGAAAACACTGTAGGGTGGGATTCAGTGGTCACACACATTATTATGCCATTTATGTCTGTTGACTTGGTTTCTACCAGCATATCCACAGAGATCTCTATAGGCAGCAATGAAACTTGTTTCTCAGCCAGAGAAATAGTACAAGGCTTAAGCACTTGCCTTATGCACATAAGATCCGGGTTCAACACCTGACACCATACATGGTCCTCCAAGCACCACCAGGAGTGATCCCTGAGCAGAGAATCAAGAGTAAGCCCTGAGTACTTCCAACATGGTCTAAAACGCCTTCCCCAAATAAAATAGTTATTTCTCATTACACATTCACTGATTGAACTTTTGTCTCAGTCACTTCTCACAGTCATCTTGCTTGAACTGGGTTTGGGGAGTAGAGGAATGAGGAGACAAATATCTCACAAAGGGAGAGACAGTACAGTAGGCAAGCTACTTGCTTTTTGTGTGTCTGACCCAGATTCCATCTCCAGCACCCAACATGGTTCCCCAAGCCCACCAGGAGTGATCCCTGAGCACAGCTGAGTGTGGTCCAAAACCCAACACCAAAACCCAAAAAGGGATATCACAAAAATGAATATCTAGGTGTTTAGCTTGTGAAAGTACAATTGGGAGTTTGTCAGAATAACAAGACACTAGGGAGCCAGGGGTGAGGCTTGATGCTGCAGCTTTCGCCCGTGTGCATGGGGCTTGGATTTCATCCCAACATGACAGATAGCAAAGTCCACTTAGTCCAATACCTCTTGCCAGGAAAAACTGGACAAGAAAACATCTCTCTCTCATAGCCTTCAGTGGCATTTAACTCCTCACACAAGCAAATTAGCATCTCACCTATCACCCTTAGCAGGTAAATTAATCTCATCTCTCATGCTTAGCAATGGGCACAGACTCTCTTCCTCCTCCCTCCTTTATTGAAGACAAGTCAGTGGTGCAGAGTCTGGAAAATAAGAACAGTTCGTGATCACTCTTGGTACAGCCCTAGGTCAAATGCAAAGGAGAAGAATGAGCTGGAGAGACAGCACAGCAGGCACTGCCAGCTCCAACTCAAGCCTTGGCACCATGTATGGCTCCCAGACACCACCAGGGCCTGCTCTAGACAGAGTCAGGAATGACAATTGAGCAGCACTGGGTGTGGCTCCAAAATCCAAATGAATAACTCCAAGGCAAGAAGCAATGCAAAGGACCAGAGAAAGGGACAGCTGAAGGACTGCCAAGGAGATGACAACATCAGAACTGCTAAGGTCTGGGCGACCTCCCCCGTCTCCTCGTACTTCCTGGCAGTCACACGCCACAGCAACACTGCCATGAAAGCTCATCTACCGGCTTGTCCAGAGACTCACAAATAGATCTTGAAAGATATCAACCAGCCACAAAATTTCATGGACACCCATTCCTGGCTGAGACCTCCAGAGTGATCTCGAAGCAGGACGGGCCAGCACCTGTCCTAACATAGCCCAGCAGCTGCTCCCACACCCCCACGCTACTGTAACGCCTCTGGCCGGACACCACAGCCTCAGGACTGAGTTCCACAGAGAACCTAATCTTATGAAAACTCCAGGTACACAGGTGTTTGTGGTTGAAAACCCCAAACCTTGGAGTCAGGGTAGGTGACCTCCCCAACCTCCACCCCAGACCTCTGCAAGACCTGGCAGCCATGGTTAGTTAATTAATTGCCCGACAAATATTCTGGGTTTTCTGAAGCACACAGCCACAAATGCATCCAACCTCTACAACACTGACAACCCAGTAGTAGTACACCAGATTGGATGGGATGTAATGCAGAAACCAACCCCTATCAACTAACAAAAATAGCACAGAAGGCTTCAAACCTCAGACAAGGTTTTAATGTCCCCATGGTGAATAGCACAGCGGGTAGGGCGTTCGCCTTACAAGCGGCCAACATGGCCGACCCGAGTTCGATTCCTCCGCCCCTCTCGGAGAGCCCGGCAAGCTACCGAGAGTATTTGATATGCCAGACACAGTAACAACAAAGTCTCCAATGGAGATGTTACTGGGCCCGCTCGAACTAATCGACGATCAACGGGAGGGCCTTTTTTCCTACAGAAATGATATTTTGATCATTCTGTTGGCCATTTAATGATAAGGTAGCACTGCCCTGCACTGTAACACTGTCCTCCCGTTGTTCATGGATTTTCTCAAGCGAGCACCAGTAATGTCTCCATGTGAGACTTGTTGTTACTATTTTTAGCATATCAAATACATGACAGGGAGCTTGCCAGGCTCTGCCGTGAGGGCGGGATACTCGGTAGTTTGCCGGGCTCTCTGAGAGGGATGGAGGAATCGAACCCGGTTGACTGCTTGCAAGGCAAACGCCCTACCTGCTGTGCTATGACTCCAGCCTTTAATGATAATAAGCAACAAAAAATGGGTTCTTGTGGGCCTCTTATGGGGGCAGGCTTGAGGGTGGTTGGGGAAACAGAGACAGTGGTGGGAATAAGGTGACAGAGGTGGGATTGGTGTTGAAATATTGAATGCCTGCAACAAATCATCAGGAACAACTTTGCAAACCACAGTGTTTAAATAAAGTCAGAAAAAAAAAACTGCTTAGGTACCTCCAACCCGCCGGCCACTTTATTAATGACAGTCTTCCCTGGGAGGAGATGACATATTAGTCAAAGATGCAGGTAGTGAGCTTCAGAGAGGAGAGGCAACTGACCCAGAATCAACTGGGACTCCTAAGAGCATGACCTTTCTACCTGCCCAGGCTCCCTGCAATCCTTGGTGGGTCTCGGTGTCTGGGGAGGGGAGGCAAACACACATGAAAGAGCAAAGCAGCGGGGCTGCAGCGATAGGACAGCGGGGAGGTGTTTGCCTTGCACGCAGCTGACCCGAGTTTGATTCCCAGCATCCCATAGGGTCCCTGAGAACCTCCGGGAGTAATTCCTGAGTGCAGAGTCAGGAGTAACCCTTGTGTATAGCTGGGTGTGACACCCCCAAAAAGTAAAGCAGCTATCAACACATGCGCCTCAGGGGCTGTAGACACCAAGGAGAACCCTGGGCCCAGCACGATAGAAACTTCCCAGAAAGGGCCATCCCAGGGGC